TCATTACTGCAGTCTTCAGTGTCACATGATCTTCAGAAATCATTCGCTGATTTGCTGCTCATGTATTTCAGTATTATCAATGCTGAAAACAGTTGTGCTGCTTAGAGTAGTGTGGAAACCATGATGCAGTGTCTATTCTGTATACCTGAATGAGTCTCATTCTTTTTTTCCTTTCTCTTCACAGTGCTGAATTCATTAGAAGCGGTTGAGAAACACACAAGAAAACAAGGTGAATTAACCGTACACACATCCTTAAAGTGGGGTCACTTGGATACAGAATAGAATTGCTTTCAGTACTATGAATTTAAATACCATCTGCAATAACACGTCTGCAACAGCTGATTTTGATGATAATCGTGCCAGTGTGAATGTGTTTCATTTTCTAGCGTTGTTTGTTCCCACCTTTTTTTTTTTTTTTTATACATGTATTTAAATTTAATATGTATATAAATGTAAGGTTTTTTTTCATAACAGAGGATTCCTGGCTGCAGGAACTCTTGAAAACTCACAAAAAGAACATGATGGAGAAAGTAGAACACATTTTTGATGAAAAAAAGAACAAAGAAGTACATCTCACAGATGCTTATACAGACCTCTTCATTACAGAGGGGGATATTAAAGAAGTCAATCATGAACATGAGATTCTGAAGATTGATAATCCCTTTAAACCCTGTAAATTACAGGACAAGCCAATCAAATGCAATGATGTATTTAGTCTGAACAAAAAGAAGAAAACAATTGTGCTGACCAAAGGCATCGCTGGCATTGGAAAAACCATTTCAGTGCACAAATTCATTTTGGACTGGACAGAAGGAAAAGCCAATCAGGATATTGACTTTGTGTTCCTACTTCCATTACGAAAGATGAACTGCATCAAAGACAAAGAGATCAGCCTGCATGAGATTCTACAAAGATTTAATCCTGAATTGCAGGGCCTGGAAACATTGAAGATAAATAAGATATATAGTAATAAGCTCGCGTTTATCTTTGATGGACTGGATGAGAGTCGACTGACTCTGGATTTTGACACTGGAATGGTGACGAGTGTTGAGGAGCGATCATCTGTAGATAAACTGTTTGCAAGTCTGGTGAACGGGACTCTGCTTCCATCAGCGCTCATCTGGGTGACATCACGACCAGCAGCAGCCAATCAGATCCCTTCTGAGTATGTCGGGTTGTTCACAGAGGTGCGAGGATTCACTGACC